TGAATAGATTTTAAAATAGCAAGCACCTATTAAATTTAAATTTTGCATCAATGTAAGACACGGTGAAAGTGGCAGAAAGATGAAAACACATGTGCCGCGCAGTGGTAGGGACACCCTCGTCTTGGGGCCCCTCCACGGGAGCTGGGGCTCTCCTGCTGCCAGAGGCCTCATTGCCATGTGATGCCAAGCTGAGGACATCAGGCTGAAGAGCAAAGGCCTCTCTTGTGCTGTTTTTCCGAGCAGGAGCCTGCATGGTTGGCGCACAGCTGCAGGAACGCAGCTCTGTTTCCGGACGGTGCACTTGCTGCGTTAGTGTTACTAGAAGTGTCTTTATGAAGACTTTCCAAGGTAACCTGCTTGCACATTGTTCTATTTTTGGTCTAACATGCTTTAGAGCATCATGCCACATGAGACTCCCCTGGGTCAGAGCTGGCACAGTGGCCTGGGTCTCCCTGACCCCAAGGTGTCTGCTTTTCCTACCAAGTAGCCCCTTGCAGATGAGTGCTCATGATTCACCCACTTGTGAACCCAGCACCTCTTGCTGGTGCATGCAGTGTTCATCCTGACAGAGAGAAGAGCATGAAGAACAGCAAAGCCAGGCTTCTGTGAGGAGCAGTCTCAGAAATGCCCGGTGCCTCCCTGCCTTGGCGGCTGTGTGGCCTTGGACACGTGATTTAACCTCTTCCAGCCGGTTTTCAATTAGAAGGGTTGAATAAGTTAACAGATGGGAACTTCTTAAAAGAGAAAATAATAAAAAGCAGATAAGAATGAAGTCATTCTGCACTGCAAACATGTACTAATTTAAAAAAATACGTTTGGAAAAGAGAAATGTTTTTCTCATTACGGGAAAATCCACAGACCCACAGGAAGCAGTCTCTGGACTCCGGGTTCCCAGGTTCCTGGTGTGTCCCCTCGTCGGTGGCTCTTGTAGAGTTTTGGCCTCCCGTTCATCCCGGCTTCTAATTCCCACATTCCAGACCTTAATGGTTCCTCTAGCTCATGCTTTACTCTTTTGGGGTATTGGAATCAATTAAATGTGGCTTCAAGGCTGGGGGTTTAGTTCAGTGGTGCCACTGCCTGCCTCCCAAATGCAAGGTCCCGAGTTCGATCCCTGGTACCAGAAAACAAAATAAAAATGGCTTCAGCTTCTTCTGTGTACGTCTTGTTGGGGGTCGAGTTGGATCCCTCCTCTGGAAACCAGGCTAGGATTCATGTCTTGCTCGGTTGTCCACAGAAGGCAGCAGCAGAGATGCCCTGAAACTCTGAGGTGGGGCACTGGGAGGGGAGGCAAGGTGCTCGGTCCAGGCAGTCCTGGGATGCTTGTTCTGAGGAAGCCGGCTGCCTTGTGAGGAGGCCAATGCCTGCGGCCACCATCCTAGGGAGGACAGGCAGAGCCTGTGGCAAGGTCCTGAGACTGCATGCGGGAGACAGCGGTCTGAACAGCTCCCAAAGGTGCTGCCCCTCTCTCGCGGCTGCCTCAGGCGTCACTGGGAGCAAGAAAAGAGTCCCTGCCCAGCTGCCTTGGTGGCTGATTCATGGGTGAAGGAGAGGAATAAGGTCTGGGGTGCTTTGCTTGGGCCTGGAGGGTCCCTGGAGGAAGAATCTAAACTGAGCCAAGGAGGAGCTTCTTCGGAGGGCAGAGCCACATGTGAAACATGGCCTGACTGTTGCCATGGAGAAAGGAGACTCACTGTGAGCTGAGAGCCTCTGGCCTGGGCCACCGATGACCGCCAGTGTGTGCTGCTGTCTGACTCGAGCTGGAACTCTGTTCCCTCGCGTGTCTGCGGCTGACAGAGGATTCCCGTAAAGCAACTCTGGGGACCACTGCATGGCAGAGCTGATCCACAGCAAGAAAGCGACTGCCCTGAGGGTGAGACCCCGATCGGCGCACTTAACTAGGCATCCACCCTGGCCCAGCCTGGGAGCCGGCGTGAGGTGAGGGGGAGGCGGCCGGCCGTTCCGGTGGCCACACCAGGGGTCGGGGGCACAGCTCACGCCTCGCACCTGAGCAGTCTGGCTCCATCCCTAGTGCACACACAGGAATCTCGATAATGGGCACGTGTGGAACTCGGTGGGACACACGGCCCGTGACCGTCAGCTCGTCCTGAAGCAGTCAGGGAAGACTCCAGGGAAGAGGTGCTGCTGGCGTGGGGCTTGAAGGAGGAGCAGCGCTCACCAGGAGGGCAGTGCTAGCACAGGGGCTCCTAAAGGTCCCCCGCCTGCCCTCACAAGTCACTTCCCCGCTCTGAGGATCCTTTCCCAGGATCACTCTGAAAGTGAAAGGGGCCGAAGCACACAAAGCCCCTGACGTAGTGCCTGGCACATTGCTGTGCTGACTTTGAAAGAGAAAAATAGCAAGGGCCAGGGATGCAGCTCAGTGGCACTGAGCCTCGGAAGTGTGAGGTCCTGAGTTCAATCCCTGATACCAGAAAAAGAGAGACAGAGGGAGAGAAAACAGCAAAGTAGAGAGGCAAGAACAGTGTGGCACCATGGGCAGACCAGTCCGTGGTTCCTGGCACGAGAAAGGGACAGGAATGGGAGGGGGTAAGGTGGGGGGATTCAGGAGAAGCAGCGGGGAGGTCAGCAGGGACCAGGTCTGGAAAACTTTCATGCAATGCATGAATTTCACCCTCCAGTCCATTTGCATTTTACTGGGATACGTTCCTAGGAGAAAAGAGTGCAATCACTGGAGGGTGGTATGCTATATTCAAAGCAATTTTGATATTGTTCATGACCCATACTGCCAAATACAGAGAGAGGCAAATTCTTTTTCATAGGCAAGTGTCTTAAGTCTCTTTTACAACACCTAAGACCCACAACAGAGGAGCGGTTTTTTTTAGAGTTCGGTTCATGCCTGGCTTACTTCAGGACAGGAAGGGCCTGGTGAAAGCATAGCTGCTCACCTCATGGGGGCCGGGAAGCAGAGACTGACGGAGAGGAAGAGCCAGTGAGGGAGGAAGACACACCCTTCTGGTGACACCCCAGTCACCCCTTCTTCCTGCCAGGCCCTGCCACCTGATAGCGCCTTCAGCTATGATTCAGAACAGCACCCCCTGACCCAGTCAGTCACCTTTCACCCCAACACATAAACCTTCCAGGAGACATTCTAGATCTAACCCACAGTGGCAGGGTGCTTCCATCTCCCCCTGCAGAGATCTGCCACTGTGAAGGAAGGAGAGAGGAGGCCTCTTGAGGGCTCATATCCAAACTTCACAAGGATGAAATTCTTCAAGGCTGAGTACTGAAAGAGGGGAGATACTGCGGCGGAAATAGGAAGTCATGGGAGGATCACAGTGGGATGAGCCTCAGGATTCGACTTGTGTTTTAGAGACATCACCTCTGTGGCAATTTGAAGGGAGCACTGGGATGGTGGAAACAGGGGTCAGCGCTGGAAGGGGACAGACACAGGGGAGAAAACTGCAATGGTCCAAGTTGGAGATCACTGGGGCCCCCATTAAGGAAGTGGGAAGGAGGGGGCACAGCCTTCATGGCAGAGTGGTGGGGTGAGGAGTGGAATAAAAACTTCCAGATGAGCTGCACTCGGCTTCCACAGCTCCTGACAGGGCTGTCCCTATCCTGACTCTCAGAGAAGACTGAGCAGATCTGTGCTCCGAACGCAGATCTCCTTAGCGGAAAAACGACAATGAAGGGGGCCTGGTGCTGGGCAGTCTGAGTGAAAGTTACAATTGCTCTCCCCTAGTATTTTCTCATTGCACAGAGTCAAAGACCACAAATAATTCTGACCCACTCGCTGGTGGGATTTTTCAGCTGAGCACTAGAACCGCAGGAAGGTCATTTACTAAGACCCGTAATCAGGAGGCTTCCCCCGCTGGCTTGGTAAGCCAGCCGCCTGCCCCTGGAACACGGCTGTTGCCTGCCCATGGCTTTGCTGTCAGCAGCGATGGGAGAAGGGGCGGCCACAACCATTCTGTCTTCACACCCAAATCCCTGGGGACTGGCGCACCACCCTCCCCCAACTTGGGGGCCTCTGGAAGGAAAAAAACAAGATGGAAATCAGCCGAAGGAAGCCAGCCGTGGCCGAGAGCCCTGTTTACAAAATCTCCCTAGTCTCAGGAAGCTTCGCTGGGCCTCAGTATGCTCCCCTCCCATCTCAGCAGAGGAAAGCAATGCTTCTCTCAGCTCCTGCTCAGGGCTCAGCAACATGGGATGCTGCCTGGAGATACATGTCTGGTCCAGAATTAGTCTCAGAACTGTCATTCTTGCAGTGATTAGGATGGCTGTGTACGGGATAACGGTGGCTTCCTTTACACGGCGCAAAGGCAGGAAGGAGACTGGAGGGGAGAAGAAGGGGAAGAGCAGCAGTGATCCTGAATGTCCCTATGTGGAGAGAGACGGCGGTGATAGGGGTTCCTGGCGGGCCCGGGAGTCTGAGCCAGGCAAGAGATTTGGGCTGCAAGGTGTGGTTCTAGGAGCGGAATGTGTCACCTCTTCCTCTGCGTGACCCTGAGGAGCTCTGTACGAAGGGACATCTCAGGGACCATCTCCAGTCCACGCTACCGGACTGTTGCGACCACTGGGGATTTGGAGGGGAATAAAGAGCAGGAAACTCTGCCTGCTGGCCTGCAGGAGAGTGAGCAGAAGACTGCTGGGCCCAGAGGGTCTGAAGGAGAGGACAGGAAGCCTGGAGAATCTCTCTGACCTAAGGGACGTGGCGACAGAGGCTTTGCTTGCGTCCAGCAAAGCAGCTGCTCAGAGACCTGATTCTGGGCGCCTCCATCCACAGGGACAACCAAGGAATGAGAAGTCAAGATTTGCTCTCATTTCAGAATGAACAGGAAAGTGAGGCTCAGGGACGGGAAATGAATCACTCAAGTGCACACATCTTGTGAAAAACACAGCGGGAAGGAGCCAGGGGGCTGTGACTACCGGCACCTTCCCTCCACACCAAGCATCATCTGGATGCCCCCCGTGTGAGAACCAGGCGGGGCAGCAGCTGGAGGTGGCCTGCAGGAGGCCCAGAGCTGGCTGGGAGCTGCAGTGGAGTTGCAGAGGGGCCCCCAGAAGAAGGAAGTCAATGGGGACCAGAGGCCGGATTCTGAGGTGGAACCCAGGAACACCAAGGTGACACCAGGTGCTTCAGTAGGGGGCACATGGGCTGGGCTCTGAGAGGCTTTGACACCGTCTCCATCTGGGGACAGCCGCAGGGCTTGAAGGCCCTAGTGCAAAGTAAAATATGGGCCCCTGTCTAAGAGGCAGGAAGGAAAAACGTATTGCAATAGATGCCAAATACAACACTTTCTTCTCCCTTTGTCTCCCTTGCAATCTGTAGTGTTTTTTATTCACTAATGCTGTGCTCCCCCAAGCACCCAAGGTACAGCTCCACAATTCCTCAGGTACCCGAGCAGCTTGCCAGCGGCAGAGATGGGGCGCAGTGCTCCCTTCAAATTGCCACAGAGGTGATGTTTCTAAAACACAAGTTGAATCTTGAAGCTCATCCCACTGTGATCCTCCCATGACTTCCTATTTCCCTGCCACCACTGCAACCCCAAGCTAGGGCAGGGAGGGCATTTTCCCTTACCCCAGGCCTGTAGACTCAGCTGTCTGTGCACGGTGACACTCACAGGATTGCTCACTGTACCAGATGTGTTTAGTATCAGGATCCAGGGTGACCCCAGGTGATGGCAGCCACGGCAGGAGCGGTGGCTCCCATGTCTCTCCCCAGCATGGACTCCCGTGTGCCCACAGCCAGGCCCCTGCCAAATCACAAAATCAAAGATATAATTATTAGGAATCTCAAAATGATGGCCACAAAACATTCAACCCCAAGAATGAGTTCTCTGAGCACAGGCCTCGGCTGCACGTCTAGAAAACTGGCTCTGGGACTAGGCAAGGTGCAGTAACAGTACTCCTCAACAATGAATTCTGCCTCGGGAGCCTTCACCCCATGCTGCCTGGGCTTTCCACACCCTCCAACCACAGGTGAAGACTCCCAGGGTCTCAATGGATGCTGTGGGGATTTCCTGCTGTTGTCGCTGCACTGTCTGCCATGTCCCAGCCCCTGGTGTTGCTGGGGCTGTTGTACCTGCCTCCTTCCCCAAGGCAGCGGAGGGAGAACCTGCTGTGGCCAGGGTTTCTAAGTCACGTCCTTTGTTCTAGAAGTATGGCCTGGCTCTTTCCTTTTCTTCTGTTTCCCACATTGAATAATTTGGGGAACATCTACTAGTGCTAATGACTGTAATTAGCCATTTTCCAGCTCGCACGTGAAGGGGATTAATTAATCATGGCACCAGGACAACAGTAGAGGGCCTGTCTGGATATACAGTCACCCCATCTAGAGTGGGATGTGGGGTTGACCTTACAGTGTATATTATGACTTCAACATGACGTGTCCCTCAAAGACTTGAGTATGGAAGGTCTGAGCTCACTGCTCAGAGGTGGCAGGTCACTAATCAACCGATCCATTTCTGTGCCCATGGGCTGTTAGAAGGTGGGACCAGCTGGAGGAAGCTGGACGCTGTAGCTGAGCTTTGAATAGTGTCTCTTCCCCGCCCCTTCCTCTCTGGCACCTTCCTTCCCTCTTGCTCTGCTCCCAGCTGCCATGAGGTGAGCAGCTCTGCTCCTCCACACCCTTCCACCCTGTTGTTTCTGCGTTGGAGCCAGCTGACCACGGACTGAAGCCTCTGCAATTGTGAGCCAAAGTAACTTTCCTATTGTAAGGTGTCTCAGGTATTTCGTCATAGCAATAAAAAGCTAATATAGGGTCATACACTAAAAAGTTCCAGTTTTGCTGCCTAAAATCAAATGTCTAAAATGAGACTCAGACGTGTCAGTTCTCTCTTTATTCTGGGTAGATTCCCAGCTCTGTTCCAATTACCATTTCTAATCCATGTACCCTACATTTTTTCTCTGCCAGAAAGCCTAGCAGGTCATTCCTCAAATTTGGCTGCAGTTTTTCGACTGGGAGTGGGGATTTGGGGGTACAGGTACCTCTGGATTCTCTATCATGCCTATAAGTGGACTGGTTCCCCTCTAATTTCTGACAGCCATGGGGACATCAAATAGACTTGTATATAAACCCATGTTTGTGGTGCTCTGTTCAAGGTGCCCGGGCATTGATGCCACTGACTGTGATTGCCCTAAACTACCATATTTTAGAGTTCAGAAGAACTTTAATGATTTCCTTCTGAAGGTAGAGTTCACTGTTGCTTCGCCTTTGCTCAGCCCAAGCTCTTCTGAGAAGATGAGATCATTCATACCTGTTCTGAAGAGACTATCAGTAAAAGACATGCCCTTTACACCACCCTGCCCCATTTTTCCTCAGATGCTGTCCCTGTCTGCACCGTGGGAATGTTGTCACAGGGATTCAACTCATTGGGCTTCCTGTTTGACATGATTTTTATCTTTGTATTATTTCTCTTGAACAAGAAACACTTTTTGAAGCGTTCTATTTGTGCCATGAAATATAAGTGTTAACCTTTTTGGTTCTTTTTGGGGGGGAAAAAAGGAAATACTTCAAGGAGCTGTAACTTCAGTAGTGTCAGCTCTCAGCCCTGGGAAATCTGTGGTTCAAAAAGGAAGGAAGGGCTCCAAACCTTCCCTTTCCATTGGGGTCATAAGAGAAAGACTACTGTTAGATGAACGAGATCTAAATTATACACTATTACACTCAAATTCTTGACACAAATTAACAAGGAAATATGCATTTCCTCACATCACAATTTTAAGTTTGAAAATTTATTCAAAAAATTATGTTCTCACCCTGCTCATCTCTCCCCTAATCACAATCTCCCTGCTTAAAAAAAAAAAAAAATAGGTTGCTCCACAATGTGAAGACCAAATCTTTTGACCAATCATTATTTGAGAGCCCTGTAGCTACAGCCACTATGCCAGTCCAGCCTTGCCTATGCCACAGCCACCTTACACTTATTAAATAAAAACGAACTGTGGCTGGGTACGTGATAGGAACTTAATTATGCCCCTCAATATTGGTACTTTGGCATGCTAACCCCAGGACCTCAGTGTGTTTAGGCTGGAGAAAAGTGATGAAGGTCATTTGTGGGGAGGCTAATCCAGCATGGCCAATGTCCTTACAAAAGGAGAAGAGGGTACAGATATACACAGAAAGGTGAATATATGAAGTCAAGAGGAGTCAATCACGAACCAGTGGAGGAGAGGACTTCAGAAGAAATCAAATGACGCATCGATCTGCGTATTTTATCCCTGGGAGCTTAAGCCCCAGTCCGCATACTGTTGTGTGACTGCAACAAACTAATCCAATAAGTATATCTTGTAGCCACTCAACTCACGGCTCTTTTAAGTTCATTTCACATTATTTATTTATTATTATTATTATTATTTGGTACCGGGGGTTGAACTCGGGTCCTTGTGCTTGCAAGACAGGCCACCGAACTGCTGAGCTAAATCCCCAGCCCATCATTTTACATTTTTTTAAATCAACTGTTAAAGAATAATTTATATATTAGTAAACATACCTGTTTTAAGTGTGAGACTCAGTGAATTTTGCTAAATGCAACTATCAGTGTAAATAACTATCGTCCAAGTGGAAGATTTTCTCAGCCCAGAGTCCTTCTGTGCCCCTTGTAGTCAGCCTTCATTCCTCATTTACAGACAAAATCAGTCTGCTTCTTTCTGTTACAGCACATTCATTTGTCCTGTTCTAGAATTGCAGGTGAAGAGGATACAGGGTATGTAGGTGCATTTTTGTCGTTACTGTGGTTCAGCAGATTTTTGAGATTCACCCATATTACGCGTGTATCAGTGGTTTGTTCCATTTTATTGTTGAGATGTATGGATGGCATGCTTTGCTTGCTTATTCCTATAGAATGTCCTATTGGTGGACATTAGGTTACTTCCAGGTTTGACCTAAGAATAAAGTGGCCATGAACACCCACGTAAAGGTCTTCGTGTGGATATCTGCTCTTTCTCTTGGGTAAATGCCTGGAAGTAGAATAGCTGTGTTCTGTGTCAAGTGTATTCTTGTTTTTTGGTTTTTTTAAAGAAAACAGAATAAACATATTAAAATAGTTTTCAAAGGGCATTACTTTCCCATAAATTTTATTTTTTTCAAATTGCAAATTTATTTTACTTTTCTAATAATGAGAAGACTCATTTGTTTTTTATATTCATTCCAATCCTTGTGAGGTTTTCAATAGTTTAGCCATCCTTTTAAGTATAAAATAGTCTTTTATTTTGGATTTAATTTCAGTCTTCCCCAGTGACTCATGATGTGGACTATCTTTCTCATGTACATGTTAAATAAACAGTACATATTCTTTGATGAAATATTTGCCCATCTTTTTTTTTTTTTTTTTTTTTTTTTT